GACATCGATGAGCTTCAATGCGTCTGCTCACATGTGATCGTATTGATGCCTCAGTACCGATGAGCGTCAATGCGATTTTTATCAGTCATTTTCCCACCCATCTTTTCATTTCCCAATCGGTTATACTATATAAGACACATGGCTGTTTTTGATTTTTCTCCTAGTGAGAGGAGTGTTGTAACACCAGTGCATCATGATAAAAGATGCCTGTCACACCGTACTGACAAAAAACAAGTGAGTCATTGTTTCTGAAATCAAAGATGGCATCGATAACTCGACTATGTGATGAATATACATATTGTTGTAAGTCGTTTGTATTCCATTGTTGCAGAAAATAGAAAATTCTTAAGTTTTTTTTTATTACAGCGAAAGCAAATCTTCCCCTACATTCGTGAAAATCGAACATGTGTTTAAATTCCCTGTATGACATTCAGTTTAACGTCATATTTTTATATCAAGAAAAAAAGTAGATATGTGCAAACGTGAGAGATGCACGCTAATGTTACATAAGATAAGGAAATCTAATTGATAAATAACTAAGGCATAGTCACTACATGTGCGAGTAAAAAGCCGTGGTATTGTTACGTCGACTACTTTTAGATATCAATCTGCATCGTACTAATGATGCAAATAAAAGCGTTTGTGAAACGTATTTGTTGTTCGATTATGTTTATAGATAATCAAAATCAATTATATGATTTTTTGATCGATCATTTACCTACATTCATATTATTAACGAAATATAATCATCAGGAACAGTAATCAAACCAATATATACGTTTTATTATCTCGATATTTTAGTATAAAGTCAGGTGAGTAACTGTAAGTTTATTATGTATTAAACTCTATTATTGCTAGGTACAACGAATGAACCATAAATAATAAGCCACTTTTGACAACAATGGATGACGGTACGATGGGGACAAGAAAGGCCTTTCTTCAAAACTGTTTTTCAATAGCCTCTATCTAGAAGAATTATTTTTCCTTTTTGCAAAACATTTAGTATTCGTAATAACGACAAAAATCTTTTATGTTAGCAGAACTAAATTTTTTCTAAATTCGATTACGCACTCAATTTTGCGAAATAATAATTTTTTGGGGACAAACAACAGGAAAACAAATTTAGAAGGAGATGCAGTTTTATTTCTGGAACATCTTAGAATTCTTGTTTCTGTGACAAAACTTCAAAACGAATTTTAGACTCAAATATGTAGTTTTAGATAGAAAATTGAATTCTCCGTTGGCTGGTATAAAAAGAAACTTGTTTACCTTGTGCTAGAAAGGAGAAAATAGATGGCAGAAGTGGCTTATTATCTATGGGCCACTCGCTATTTATCTCGAAAAGTAAACAAATAGAATACGAGAAAGACACAAACACTTGCGGAAGTTTTAATTATTCACCGAAATACAAAGATATACATGTAAATACCCACGCTAAAAGAAATTTCCATTGAAAATATTCTTGTGGCATAAACGTGACATTGAGCCAATGCTATTAAGTTTTATCGATTAATTATCGTAATTAGCATTAATATTTAGGTGAGGGAGGTGTATATGACTCGCTGAAATCCTAATTATCCATAATCATGCGAGCATGACTTGTTTGACTCAGGTACCAGAAAAACAGGTTTATTCTAAGAAAACATGGCTCTTATTTCATCACTAAACACAAAATTGATATTCAATATTTTTTCTCCATAATCCTGTGTTCTACTAAGCTTTGTCATCATTTTAGAACGTATCATGATTTATCTTCTTTAAACGGTATATGGCAACTGCAATCACATTTAATCTATTGTCTCCCAAAGGTGAAGAAGAAGAGAATTCAACAAATCAAATTTTGCCCGAAATTCAGCTTCAACCGAAAACACTGAAACCATTTCCTCCATCGATTCTGAATTCCATAGAACGTCATCGAAAGGCTCTACCATATTCCCAATCAAATTCAGACTTTTTAACAGTGACACAATCATCATTGGACACTGATGATTCTGATAGCCAAAAGACTGAGGGAGATAGAAAACAACGATCACCATCCGAAGTTCGTATTTCACTCTTTCCTGGTACGGGCGTTAAAAGACTCAATTCATTATCCAAGAGTGAAGTTGAAGTATCAGACAGGATGTCGTCCATGCGAGGTTCTGATCCGAGTATTATAGAATCAGCGACGAAACCTCGTTTCGATAATTTAAGAAAATCGTTATTGGACAAAAAGCTTAGTCGTCGAATACATTCATCATTCGGTAGTTCATCAACACTAAGGTCAATGGTATTTCGTCGGCGATCGTCAAACGTTTCGTCAAATCGTCGGCATCACATTAAAACAGACTCGAAATGGCACACTGTACGAAAAAAGCTACCAGATATTGCTTCGATGAGCGAAACGTATATTCGTGTCAAAAATAAAAATGCCGACTGGAATTGGGCTCGTTTAAAGCAACCACTATTTTTGCAAGTACAAGAATTACGCGAAATGAGTCAAATGCAAGAAATCGATGATGAAAACAAGGAAAAATCACCGAAAACCGGTTTTAAATTGAAAAATATTATGGAAGATGAAGTTATACATATTGATATTGACGGTGTTATTCATACCATATCGACATTAGATTTGATAACTGGACGATTGAAGCAAGACGTTCATATTGACAAAATTGTACATACGTTAGTAAGAGGACATCTAAAACGGGTGAAAAAACGCGAAGAACATCAGCGAGGTAGACTACGCTTACAAAAACGTTTTGCTACTTCATTTTGTGTGTGCAATTTGACATTTATTATTTTAATGTTTTGTCTGATGGTTTATGTAATGTTGAAAGTAGTAATACAGTTTCGAAATGAGCTTCCTTGAAATTGACTTGTGAATGAAATGAATCTAAACAAAAAACTTTTCAATAGTATAGTTGTCTCATGTGAAAAGGAATATTTCGTCTATCAATTTCATCTTATGTATTTGAATTTAAACTACGGATACTGAACATAGAACTACATCATAAAATAAACCAGTTCTCTTCTTCAATATCTAAATTACAGTAATTTATAACGGTGCCAGAAGAGATGCATCTTCATCGATTTATCATTATTTGTTAGTAATCAGCTACAATTGTCTTTGCCTTAAAAGATTTGCCTTTCATGAATTGCGTTTTTCTTCAACAGTGAAGTTTTGCGTTACACATACTATTGTTTAATCTGACCTGACAAAATCTGTATCGGTATTATCCGATTATTGATGATTGTCCTATTTTACCATTTAAATCTTGTTATTCTTCTTAACAGATGTTCCGTTGATTTCTTTTTCTCAAACGATAGGTTTGCATTCTACTCTTTAAAATACGTGATCCAGCTCTGTTCGGGTCAGAAAACTTGGCTTTCTTTTTTGGCAGTTTTGGCACTTGTATTACACAGTAAAGCATATTTCATTATAACGGTTCAAGGTGATCTATAATAGATTTTCTTGTTCAAAAGCTCGCGAAAAAGCCATACATTATTTTAAGAAATTTTTGAGGTTTACTTTCATTATTAAGAAAATTAACAAGTCAACTTTATTATTAATGACTTGAAATGCGCGGATATGAAGGAAATTTTTCCAATGATTGCAATGAATCATTAATTTAAGTATCTATAATTCAGTAAGAAACAAATTATTGTGCATCTTATTCATTTCTCTAAATTCCTCTAGAGAGTTGTTGAATAGCCGAACATACCAATGTTCACGTTAATGGTTTGTGGAATAAAAATGAAAGAGTCACTTTACTACTCAGAAAAGTTGTCTGTGCGATATTATATGAAAAGCAGACAAAATAAATCCGTTACAGAGGCGTATTTAACGATAACGTAATGTGTATTTGAGATTTAAGAAAAAGAAGTAGGTAATTTGAAGATATGAATAGTCTAGTATAACAGTGTAAAGTCACCATTTGAGTCTCAAAATGAAAAAGAATAAATTCATAAACTACGATTCAAAACAGCCTTACGTAAGCGAATTAAAATTCTAGAAAATTTGATTCTGACTGTCGTTGTTCGTTTTGTTTTATCAGTAAAGATATTTTACTATAAGATAGTTGATATCATCACATCGACTATCATTCCTACACGTTTATTATCCACTTGTATTGCTACGCTCGAATTACTACAGACGATCACACCTCTTGTTTTAGAAAAATTAGGTTAGATAAGTTTCTACATAACATCAATATTTAATAATTCACAAAATATTCTAGAAATCTATTGTAATTTAATACTTATAAAGACATTTATACATTAATAACATAGCGAAGAAGATTTTCGCCAACTTGTTGAAATCAACTAAATTCAGTTGACATCCGTATAGTTCCGTAATGAATAATTTTATGACATATTTTTTCAATAAAATCACGGCATCTATAGTGATTCAACAGATGGTGTGTTTTATTTTTATCCTATTTGATTTTGCCGATATATATTTCAGTAATTATTTTTTCTTTTTTTTATACCACCTTTTATTTTGCTCGTTCGTTGTTTCCAGTATCGTCGAACTTATTTTATTATCGTATAAAAAATCTTTTAAACTACATGGAAGCTCAGTTGTGTTTCTTTTACTTTTTTTTTTATGTTACACAAAATGATTTTAGTTTTTGACATTAGTTCTTTTCTCCCTTTTCACGACCTGTGATTGCACATTTTCTCTGTTTCTTTTGTCTTTTTTTTTTTTTCTTCTTCGTATTCTCATATTTTATGTATGTATTTATAAATGGTATGAATGAATAAGTCAAATATGCTTGGATATAGATATATATATATAGAGATTGAGAGAGAGAAAGAGAGAGAGAGAGATAGTAGAAATTTTTATCGACATCTCCCTATATGTCTTTTTCATATAAAATCAATTTGAGAGTACCTGTTCAAATTTATAAATTACGAATGAAGTGTGTTTAAAAGAAAATTTGCCATTTAGTTATTGTACATAATTAAGTAAACTGTAATACTCATTTCTTTTCTTTCATTGATACAAAATTAATGGTAAGGACATATTTATTTAATATCATAGAAACGTCCCTTAAGATTTTTACTATATTTTGAAGAAGACCTTCATCAGTATTGTTTCTGAATGAATAGAAATAGAGAAGAGTTAATATCTTGTTCTTGATAGCTACATGGATTTAGAGTACAGAGTATTTTATACGTCAGAAATGCACAAGATGAACTCAACTTTCATCCTTTAGATGACTTCTTCACATGTTGTCCAGAAAGTGAACGAATTAGATGACGTATCTATATTTTTGTATTTGTTCTATTTTCAGAGACTTCGAGATTTATTTCGTACAGGTGAAAAAAAACCTGACAAAAATTTGGTTGTTTCATCAGTCAGTTTTCAAGATCCAAGTGTATTCGTGCATGCTGCGTACGAAAGAGATAATGAAACATTACAGAAATTTTTGTTAGCAGGTAACATCCTTGAGCAAAGAGAGATTAATTTTTATGTTTTTTTTTATGTGTGCTTCTCATCTACCTAACCTTATTCAATGATAATGTGTATAGTCGAAGAACATATAGATCTACATTGATGATTGCCACCTGCCCGTCTAGAGAGAAAAGAGAGATCAACGAATAAGTTGCTATTTATTAAATCACCTTTATGTTGACATAATCATTTCTATGTTCTTAGTACTCTTTATTATTAATAATAATAATAATAAACAGGTGTGCCACCGATAAACCATTTGAGATAATCTGGAGTTAATAAAATAATAAATTTAACAGCGAAGAACACAAAATAATAAATATAACTATATATAGGTTTTCCACCTGATTCACCCGATCCTGCAACCAAAAATACTGCACTACATGCAGCTGTTGAATCACAGAACATTAAGGGTGTTCAGTTGTTATTAAACAATGGCTGCCAAACGAATTTGACTGATATAAGTCTATCGACACCGTTGCACGTTGCAGCATATACCAATTCCGACGAGGTGTGTAAAAAGCTTTTTTTGTACGATTTTGTCTGATTCTTCTATAATTTCAAAGCGAGTAAGTGACATTGAGTGATCCATTTTTATTCAGCTTGTGCAATTGTTGCTCACTCATGGAGCTGATTGTTCGAGAACAGACAACACTGGACGAAATTCATTTCATATAGCTGCAGGTGCAAATGGAAACGTTCGGATTTTACAATTACTTGTCGCTTCTGATACTGACAAACGTGCAATTAATTCACAGGACAAGTGAGTCTCATCAATTTTATAGCAAAATAAAGCACGATCGATTAATAATAAAATTATTTTATTTTAGGCAAAAATGGACACCATTGATGAATGCGTGTGCATCATCTCATCAAGCAGCCGTTTTATTTTTACTTCAAAATGGAGCTGATCCAACAATACGTAATGACAAGGGCATGACGTGTTTACACATTGCGACATTTGTTGGTGCCATTGACATTGTAAACGATCTCTGTACATTTCCCATATCATTCACATCTTCACCATCTGTAACGAAACGACAATTAGATAAAAATAATAACGACGGTCCATTATCATCTCCCGGAATAAAAGCATTTATTAAACCGACAAATAGATACGATACACATTCGGTAAGAACCGTTTCAACGTCATCCAGTGATAGTGGTAAACATTTTATATTTTACGATGGTGGATCATCGACGATTGATAATCAACAGTTAATCGATATAGCTGATAAGAATAACCAAACGGCGTTATTCTATGCTGTCACGGAAGGTCACACATCTATTGCCATACACTTACTTGATTTAGGAGCAAATCCGTACCATTTTGATATTGATAATCAAACATGTCTACATAACATGTTATCATCGACGATTATTCTGAAACGTCATCTTCAGTTGTTTTTTAAATTAATCCAATATGTTGACTATCGCTCTTTAAAAGATCGTTTAGGTCGAACACTACTCGACTTAGCTTACATTAATGAATATCAGTCGTTAATCTATCTATTAACGTTATTAGGTTATACTCGTAATGATGAAATTGTGTTTAATACAGATCATACAAATGATCAAACAAGTTTAAATTCACAAACACTAAAAAGTACAATGTTCAGTTTGAAACAATTATGTATTCTAAAATGGAAAAAATCAATAGTACATGATAACACAAACGATCATATACAAACACCATATGATCTACTGATAAAATCATTTCATCAATGTTTCAATATAAACAGTATTAGTCCAGTAGAAAAATCGATTGATACTATTGAACATCAGCAGTCATTAGTCACGCATTATTCTTCTCTATCAGGTACATCACTATCCGATTCAATCAATAACATAACATCCACATCAAAATCTTCAACAAATAAAAGAAACATGATTTCTAACACGAAAAAATCAGCATTATCCACTAATGAAACTCGTTCTATATCACAAACAGATATTCAGCCACAACAATCATCAAATTCTACATTTACAAATAGATTCAAACAGAACAATAATAAAAAATCGATAGTTGAACAAGAGATAACTGAATCACATCAACATGACATGAAAAATTTGGTATTAAATATCCTATCATCAGTATCAAAGCTCGATTCAATTATCAATTATCCGAATTTAAATAGTAATTCTCGTTTAATACATGAAGATTTACAACACTCAATATACTCTTACAAATTAGGATAAGCAACAAAATTATTTTCGTTTTATGTAACAGTAAAATCTTCGGTTATTTTTGTGACATACAGGGTTTACTCTATGTTTGTTACATGTTGAATACAGCCCAGTATTAATTTTGAACTGTGTTTTTCGTTGTGATTTCTTTTTAAATGTGATTCTAATTTATTTTCCTAGTGGAATAATACGATTAAACATTGATGAAATGATTTTATCAGTAGATCATATGGTGTTTGAGTTATCATATACTATTGATTTTTGTGATAATGGTTTCGAGTAGAAGAGATAAAATTTCTCAGCCTACATTAATGCACCTTCTTCAGTAGCATAATAACAAAGAAGAAATTCCAGCCTAATTACCCCATTTTATCTCTCTTTTTAGACTTTCATTGGTTTCAGAACTTTCTTTTTAAAGTTTTCAATATTTCAGATTGTACGGAATTTGGGAAACGGACAGTTGCTCATGGACACTTCCTCACGTGGACGGTTCCTCATATGTACCTTTGCTCACACGGACAGTTGCTCACGAGGACAATTGCTCATGAATATTGATATAGTGTGATACAAAAAACAGATTTATTCAGTAATGATGAGTGAAAGTAGTAATGTGAAAGTAAGTAATGAAAATTTAAAGTTTTGACAACAACTATAAAGATATTAAACGTCCTCTTGCCTCAAGCTGTTCATAAACAGAAGGATCTGGATTTTCTACTAAGTTATGAAGTCGTTCATGAATTGATATGTATTGTTTTGATGTTGTTGACCAGATTTTGCTTTGATTATATCTGTAGGAAGCATATTTTCTTGTTCTATAAGCTGTTCCAAAAAAGTCCATAAATTTGGATGATTACATAGAAAAGCTGAATTCATTTTTCGATGCCAAGCTTCGACATTATTATTTGTTTTATGTGTATTATTTAATACTCGATTACGCATATTCCAGAAGTCAGTATTGAAAAGACATTGTCTTCTGATTGCACCTCGTATTCACCCTAAAAAGAATTAAAACGAAACAGCTTGTAAAAGAGGGGTAATCCTAGAAGAAATAGACTACTTCAGCAAGACTTACCAATATATGTATCTTCCATATAATCGAGAATGTCCTGATAAGTATCATCTAAACGTGCACACAATGTTTCGAAACCATCAATAACAGAATCAGATTCAAGAAAAGCTAAAGCGGAAATTTTATGAATATTATCTGAAAATGTTAAATCAGTTTCGTATTGTTGTTTTAAACCATGAGTCTGAAACGAAAAAAAAGCGTCAACCTTAATCATTTGTTTTTCTATGACTCGTAGTCATCTCTACCCAGTACATAAGATTAACATACGATCATTGCCTGGCCCAGTATCTATCTGTTCTTAAAAAATTATCACCACGAGATGTTGTTTTGTATAAATCAGGGACAGTTTGAAAATTTTTATCAGTTGGAATACTTGCAACTAATTTATCCTGGCGCCAACGACCAACACCTCTTTTCAAATTTGAATTATCTGGTAATATTGCACGAATTTCGTCTGGAACACCCATGTAACATTGAGTAAGAACATTGTGTGGATTGGTATGATTTTGTAATGCTTCACCTTTCATATTTTCATAAAATTGACGAATATGCTGTGAACGAGAATTTCCAGAATGGTTATGTGTATCAATCAATTTTAAAATGACTTTGTTATCGAGCGATGTATGAAGTCGTGCATGACAATTAAGTTTTCTTTGAACCTCACATTTCTGTAATATTTTCTCGTCGGTTTTTTGATCCAGTATATAACAAAAACCATCGTTCAACAGTAAAGGTGTCCCTTTACTTGTTTTAGATATAGTGACCATATTTACGATTAAAACAAAATGACTGTACAGACTGTTTGCTGTATCTCCCTTATATAGTCAAGAAATGTACCTGTAATGTAATCTCTGATAGAATATTGTTGTTTTCCTAAACTGACAACTGACACCCCGCTATAAATAAAAGGAAATTCATCAATTTGTCAGTTGATAAAATCGTATTTTCTTTTCTAGCTGATCGAATCAAATTTTAAAATTAATATTCATTATTAATCAAACTATATCAATATTCATGGGCAATTGTCCGTGTGAGCAACGGTACATATGAGGAAGTATCCTTGTGAGAAAGTGTCCGTGAGGAAGTGTCCATGAGCAACTGTCCCCGTGAGCAACTGTCCTAAACTCACGGAATTTCTTTCTTTGTTGTAAAACTTGACGGTCTGATTTTAAAATAGCAAATAAAATTAAAACAAACTGGTACAGAAACCAACTGCAACAAAAACAGTTTTGAATTTCATATCATATCTTAATGATTCGATTAAACGAAACATCGAGAATAGGACGAGTAGACATTTGGTAGCAAATAATAAGGTTAAAAGTAAAGATCTTGAGGTTTTGACATTCTGATAAACAGTAACTTTTCAAAAGACATAACAAAACAATTCAAAAAAATTTATATAAAGATGGAGGCAAAAAAAACATCAATTTAATGAAATACTAGTAATACCACATTCAAGAGGTATTACTGAAAAAGTAAAACGAGACTTACGAAAAGATAAAACTAGAACTTTTACAAAACATATACGTAGTATTGAAGCGATATTAAATTAAAAAAGTTGAGAAATTGCAGATAAGAATGATAAGAATAATAAAAGAGATAAAAATATATCAGGTACTAATCCTATTTTATATTGTGATTTTGGAGACACTGGGTGGTGAGAGTGAAGAAGTTGACAGAAGGATAAAAATAGCACAAGAACCGTGTTAATATAAAAGAAAAACAAATATTTCAGAAATAGCTAAACATACAAGTCCATGTAGCAAAAATAGAATAAACTTTGATGATACAGTAATTTCGAATACTGAACGCAAACCTCTGATTATAAACTATTACAAAAATTTAGATTACTAATAATCGGATCTGACGAATGCCTCATTAAGCATTATTCAAATCCAGTAGACAGCCATGTAAAATTCATCGTATAAGATTTATCTTTTTCTTATGAAATCTGATAGCTAGCTCTTATTGCATAAACTTGTGAGATTTTGTCTCAGGATAGTATAAGATATTGTGGAATCGTGCAACTTCTGGTCATAAGATCTTATAGGAGCTGGTTATAAGATTATGTAAAATCTTGTAAGACGCGACAACTTGCTCTTAGCATATAAATTTTTCGACGATGCATAGTACATATACCAGAGACCAATTGGGTCAAACTCATTTGATGTCAATCCGACCCAAGCGTTTTGTGACCCGACCTGAACTCTATCCGAAACCTTTTTCCTTGATCCGAATGAGTCCGGAAAAAAGTTTTCCGCATCGAAAAAACAATGAATGGAATCAATGCTGAAATCTGTATAAAAGGACTCATTTTCTGATATTAGTCAGATACCAGAAATTCGAAAATTCAGCACGTTTTTATTTTGCATTTTTTATAAAGTTATTTTCATGTCGAATGACTGGAAAAATTCGAAGGATCATAAAACTAATAAGCATCGTTCCTCTTTAGTAGAGGTAATGGTAATTGATATACAGTAAGAAATCCTTTATCCTCCAGTAACGAGGAACGATGCTTATTAATTTTATATCAGTTACCGTTACCTCTAGTAACGGAGAACGCTGGTAACGGTAA